CTAGGCTACAAAGGGAAATCTCAAAGAGAAAATAGACATTGTTTAGACTTCGGTATATACCCCTACATTGTGTTTACATTATCAGGGATGATTTCAATATTTGTTTCACTTTATACACCATACAAGATATTGCATAATGCATCATGCTTTGCAGTTGGGTGTGATGGTCTGAACATTTATTTGCGAGCGAGGAAAAGTGTTAAGATTTGTGAGGTCGCAGTGCGAAAAATTACATCTTATAAAGAGGAAAAAACCCAATCCTGATAGGGTTATAAGTACATTTTCATAACGGAAGACTGAAAAGACCTTAGATAAAATAACATAAGTATATTTTGATTTGATTATATTTTCTTCTGCATTCGTGTAATCATACAGTTTTTCGATAACAATAATAATATAAAGTACAATAAGTATTTTTCTGACAATGAATCATAAATTAGCAAATACATATATATATATATATATATATATATTTATATATATATATATATATATAGATATAAAATGTCATAAATACTAAGTTTCCTCAAACATTATAAAACATGATACAATTATTTGCGGAAGAAGGACTGTCATTGTAAGCAGATTGCTTGATAATACGACAGCCCCAGACAAAAACTCATGAATATATTAACACATATTAAGCAGATACGGATAGGTAATTGAAAATACAAATTTCGATGATGGTGATATTGACAATGCAGATGAGGATGATGATGATGATGAAGACGATGATGATGATGATGATGATAATGATTCGAATGAAAGAAGAGATGACATGATAAACAATGAAGAGTTGACACAGAAATTCTACCTTGAGTATATGATAACATCGTTTTAACTTTGGCCTTAAATGAGTAGAGTGAGCAGGCCCGTAGCCAGGGGGGGGGGGGGGGGGCACGTGCCCCCCCCCCCCACAAAAAAATTGAAATTGTTTAGACCCCTCCCCAGAACGTCGATCAATTACATGTATGTGTCCCCCCCCCCCCCCCCCCTAAACATCAAACTCTGGCTACGGCCCTGAGAGGGAGCAACATGATTTAATAGACTCTGGGAGAAAGTTCCATAGGTCAGGACCATGGTGTCTTATGGATTTATTTCGGGTATACTAGATGAAAATTTGAGGAATTACGAGTAGGGTAAGAGTGAATAGCTTTATTCATAGTGTAAAAGTTTTGAAATGAAAGAGGGAGCATATTTTTTAAATACTTAAACATGATCAGTAAACATTGTAGCGAATTTATGTCAAATACTGTAAGGGTTTTCAGTTTGTAAAATATTGGACTTGTGTGAGATAAATAATGGTGAACCAGTACAAAATACGAAGGGCTTTCTTTTGCAATAAATAAATAGAGTTGATTTTGATTTTGGCGCTGGTGGCCAATACCAAATTGCAATATGTTATATACTGTAATATCAATAAATTATAAAGCATAACAAGCGGATAACATGGGATTAATTTCTTCTTTCAAAATCGTTTCAAAATTACAGTAAGTTCATTGGCTGCATGTATCTCTTTCAAAAAGTGTTTGAACTAACTATAACAATCCCATTTTTGTCTTGATGTCTTGATTTGAAATGTCTTGATTTGTAACTGTCCCTTATTACCTACGCATGTTGGTAATGAGAGACCTTTGGTGATGACGTCATAAATTATTTTTATCTTATTAATCAGTTACATCATGACCACAATTTTGTTTCCCAATAAAGAGAAGAAGTTACTAAAGAGAAAACAAAACTTTCTGTATGTGTAACATTTTTCATGTTTATGTAAATTATGGAAATGTGCTTAAGGGTCTCCAATTCCCCACACCTACCCTAGTACTAGAAATTAAAGAGGGCACTTACGAGAATGGAAAATGGACACTTATTGCAATGGAAAATGGGAACTTGTCGAAGGAAAAGGGGCACGTGTCAAAATAAAAGGGGCACTTATCAGAGTAAAAGGAGCACTATTCCTATGTAAAAAGGGGCACTTTTCGAGTGTTTGAAAAAGTGGGGGGAGGGGGCACTGTGCCCCTACTCCCCCAGGAGTGCGGCCTCTGCTGGGGAGTATTCCTACCATTATGGTCACCGTGAAGGCATAGGCATAACTAACACAAACTAACACGGTAAAGAGTTAATATTCCAGTTTATAGACTATGTACATGGCGCTATAGGGTGGTGAAAAGTTAGCGTAGGGTGGTGAAAAATTAAGAGTGCAGTTTATCCATAGACAATGTACATGGCGCTGTAGGGTGGTGAAAAGTTAGCGTAGGGTGGTGAAGAGTTAATATTCCAGTTTATCCATAGACAATGTACATGGTGCTAGGGTGGTGAAAAGTTAGCGTAGGGTGGTGAAAAATAAATATTCCACTTTATCCATAGACAATGTACATGACGCTAGGGTGGTGAAAAGTTAGCGTAGGGTGGTGAAGAGTTAATATTCCAGTTTATCCATAGACAATGTACATGACGCTAGGGTGGTGAAAAGTTAATATTCCAGTTTATCCATAGACAATGTACATGACGCTAGGGTGGTGAAAAGTTAGCGTTGGGTGGTGAAGAGTTAATATTCCAGCTTATCCATAGACAATGTACATAAAGGAAGGGTGGTGAAAAGTTATCGTTGGGTGGTGAAGAGTTAATATTCCAGCTTATCCATAGACAATGTACATAAAGGAAGGGTGGTGAAAAGTTAGCGTAGGGTGGTGAAAAATTAATATTCCAGCTTATCCATAGACAATGTACATGACGCTAGGGTGGTGAAAAGTTAGCGTAGGGTGGTGAAGAGTTAATATTCCAGTTTATCCATAGACAATGTACATGGCGCTAGGGTGGTGAAAAGTTAGCGTAGGGTGGTGAAAGTTAATATTCCAGCTTATCCATAGATAATGCAAGGTGGTGAAAAGTTAGCGTAGGGTGGTGAAAAATTAATATTCCAGCTTATCCATAGACAATGTACATGACGCTAGGGTGGTGAAAAGATAGCGTAGGGTGGTGAAGAGTTAATATTCCAGTTTATCCATAGACAATGTACATGGCGCTAGGGTGGTGAAATGTTAGCGTAGGGTGGTGAAAGTTAATATTCCAGCTTATCCATAGATAATGCAAGGTGGTGAAAAGTTAGCGTAGGGTGGTGAAAAAATAATATTACCATTTATCCATAGACAATGTACATGACGCTAGGGTGGTGAAAAGATAGCGTAGGGTGGTGAAGAGTTACTTTATCCATAGACAATGTACATGACGCTAGGGTGGTGAAAAGTTAGCGTAGGGTGGTGAAGAGTTAATATTCCAGTTTATCCATAGACAATGTACATGGCGCTAGGGTGGTGAAAAGTTAGCGTAGGGTGGTGAAAGTTAATATTCCAGCTTATCCATAGATAATGCAAGGTGGTGAAAAGTTAGCGTAGGGTGGTGAAAAATTAATATTCCAGCTTATCCATAGACAATGTACATGACGCTAGGGTGGTGAAAAGATAGCGTAGGGTGGTGAAGAGTTAATATTCCAGTTTATCCATAGACAATGTACATGGCGCTAGGGTGGTGAAATGTTAGCGTAGGGTGGTGAAAAATTAATATTCCAGTTTATCCATAGACAATGTACATGACGCTAGGGTGGTGAAAAGATAGCGTAGGGTGGTGAAGAGTTACTTTATCCATAGACAATGTACATGACGCTAGGGTGGTGAAAAGTTAGCGTAGGGTGGTGAAGAGTTAATATTCCAGTTTATCCATAGACAATGTACATGGCGCTAGGGTGGTGAAAAGTTAGCGTAGGGTGGTGAAAGTTAATATTCCAGCTTATCCATAGATAATGCAAGGTGGTGAAAAGTTAGCGTAGGGTGGTGAAAAATTAATATTCCAGCTTATCCATAGACAATGTACATGACGCTAGGGTGGTGAAAAGATAGCGTAGGGTGGTGAAGAGTTAATATTCCAGTTTATCCATAGACAATGTACATGGCGCTAGGGTGGTGAAATGTTAGCGTAGGGTGGTGAAAAATTAATATTCCAGTTTATCCATAGACAATGCACATGGTGCTAGGGTGGTGAAAAGTTAGCGTAGGATGGTGAAGAGTTAATATTCCAGTTTATCCATAGACACTGCACATGACGCTAGGTTCGTGAAAAGTTAGCGTAGGGTGGTGAAGAATAAATATTCCACTTTATCCATCGACAATGTACATGTACATGACGCTGATGTGGTAAAGAGTTGAGATTTTAAAAAATATATCCATAGAAAATATGTACATGACGGTGACATAATGGTGAATAGTTTCTGTGATTTGGTATTTAAAGAGTCAATGCCCCTTTTCCCAGAGAAGGCATATTTATTTATTTATTTATTTATTTATTTATGCATGCATGCATGTTCACAATTTCACAATTCATTGAAGTTAACATCGCATGAAAATGAATATAAAATAATATAACAAATCATTTCAATTTTACAATCCATTTGAATTGACTTCACATGAAAAAGAATATAACAATGATTTATCATACACACGTTGCAACTAATATACAGTTTGAAGAAAGAACACACAAAGGTGATGAAACATAAGCAAATAGAGCTTGAATCGTGTACCACCTTTCAAATATATAACATAGACTATGACAAATAACATTCATTCATGACTTATAATTATGGTGCGGGGATATATTGCAATTCAAAAGAAGATAATAACTTTTTAATTTCTAACATACATGAGGTGAGGTCTTAGTATAATTCTTTGATTTGCCCCTAAGTACTGCGCCTAACCCCCCCCCCCCCCCCTCCATCATCTACTCTCATTATATCCGACCACAATGCCTATTTTAATTGGTAGCCAGCCATCGTTGCACTGATCATGCCTGACGGATACAATACACAAAGAATATATTGCGTGTGTGTAGTATAGCTGTTGTATGTGTACAATGCGATCCTTACACTTATCAAATTGGCAATTTTTACACATTGGATGGGCTACCTTCATCTCCGATTAGGTGTGTGAAGAAAAGCTTCACCCCTAAAAAATACGCAATTAGTCTACAGCGATTTGAAGCTTGACGTATTATTATTAGGTGAGGTCGAGTCAAACATGACATACATTCCATTGTAATGATTGAGATGGTTATTTTGAGTGTAATTCGTTTAAAAACGCATTTTAAAATTAACTAGATCTAGAGATCTAGATCTAGACCCTTTCGTGTAATATTTTGAGGATCGGTCCCATATGTTGATATCCATGTTTGTCGTGAATGTTAAAGTGCTGTGAAACTGAAAGTTATGAATTTTTGAAGGTGCGATCAATCAAACACACATTGGCAGCTATGTGACGTATCTTGCGAGCTCCCCTCCCAATTGCCCTGTACTAAAATAAATTCAACAATGTATAGTCTAGATTCCCTAGATTCTAGATCTAAGCATAGGAAATTTAATTAGGGAGGCCAATGCCCAAATCTAACTTTTTAATTACTAATTTGTTTATACTAAAACTAAGATTAAAAGAAAGCATTTACTTTCACTAAGAAAATCCACCCATCTGCCGACTCCATAGGTTCCATCAAATAGGAGATATCCAGCTGGTTTGTAGCCATTTCCTTCTACGCCTTTCCGTACGTAAGAGCCTTGAAACAATTATATTTCATGTCGCAAAGTTACGTTCATAATTAGACAGGCCCGAGGGACAAAGTTCATGATGAAGTTTAAAACTTCGCGCGAAAGTGCAATCACTCAACAGCGGCTAGCCTTGAATCGGTCGCACACGTACACACCTTCTTCTTCTTAGTTGATCCCTCCACCGACACAGGCAAGCCCCGATGCAGGCTGAAGTCCAGCCATCAATGTGCGAACGATTACATCTTCTACTACTACGAGCCGAAGACGATGGTTCAAAAAAGGAAAGAAATATATATAATTCATTGATATTTACCTTAGATGTGTATTCCAATAATTTGATTTCCTCATGAGTATTCCTTATTATCAACGATCGAGAAGTTACGAGGTCCAATTAAAATCCATCTTGCAGCGAACACAATCATAGCGCACATCCATGCATGCAACGTACGTGTACTAATATTTCTCTCACTCTCTCTCTCTCTCTCTCTCCCTTTCGCTATACGTAACATACACACTCACTAACCATGTATCATATACAACACACACCTTCAAATCATGGCTTTCATTTCAATTCTCAATTGGAGTATAGACTGCTCACGTAGACTTTTTTTTTACTGAAATATCTTTTTTAACACTTCTCATACATTACTGCACGACACTCGTATCTAGTGCTGTGAGAATAAGGTACTAGGGTCTATAAATAAGACTACGCTTTGGGCACGCTCTGACCGGAGCTCAGATTATGTCGCAATACCCTTTATTTTTGGCGCGAACAATGACGTCACTGTTCACTGTTTTCCTTCTCATTTTGAGATGGATGTAGCTATAGGGCTCAAACCAACGCAAGATTGACAGAAACATCGTACTCTATCTACTTTCGAATGTTCAGTTTGTAAAAATCTGTATTTAAAAAGATATAATCTTTTTTCTTTATATTTTCTAGTTGTTAGAAGTGGCAATTGTGAACATCTGAAATGTTGATCTCTATCAAAAGTTCTTTACTCAAAACGGATCCCATATTTTTAGGGTCTACCTTCTGCCAATGAGAAGGTTTTTAGTGAGCAAACCTCTACGCCCTCTAGGATTTTCTTAGTCGGTGGTGCGAGTGCGTCAAGGTCGTCTGCAACCACAATTATTGGATTAAAAAACGTCAAAATCTGCAAGATTGTCAACAAATGGTGAAAGACTGTTACAGATCCGTGATTATAGGTATGTTGTGAAATGTATAATTGTATTTTCTTTTCATATTTTCTTCAATTTTTATTTTTACATCATTTTTTTCCCTTTGCTAATTTTTTGAAGTGGGCGACGAGCGCACAAATCGTAGGTGTAGAAGCCTTACGCCCGGGCATTGGCCTCCCTAATTTAATGTTCAATCATTCATAATCATAAGATAGGTCTAGGCACATTCATGGGGCACTAGAGGGCGCTTTGCGTGCGTACGAAAATCTGAATGGCCTTGCTGCGGTGGGTCGGCAATAATCAGCCCAAAACTTGGATATGAGGGTGGAAGGATATATCTTTTTTATAATGTTATCTGGTCTTACCCTTAACCATCCTATGTTTAATCTAGATCTAAGTAGGTCTAGTCTATGTAGAAATAACATGCGAGTACGATAAGAGAAACATCGGGCCCATTACTATACTGATGCAACTTTTAAAATATTAGCCTAGAAATGACCACCAAATGGAAAAAATTGACATTTTTTCCCGACAAATCTTCATAAAATCTGATTTATAAACAAGTCACATCTAGGTACACTAATACAAATACGATTTTCTGAAAATTCAGGTATTCTTTTTTAAGTTTCTTTCAAGTATATTTCTGCGCATTGCAGCGCCAATGTTCTCCACTGCTTCAAAATCACCCTTGAAATTTTTTTTTTGCAACAAATTTGTTACAAGGTCCGCGAGTGTTCCCCGTTCCTTGCGTGTTGAAAGTTTGGTAATACATAGTTTACATTGACTCGCGCACGAAAAAATGGTCGAAAACAAAATGTCAAATGAAGAAATAAACAAGCTTTTGTATAGTTATAAGAGTTCTACCGAGGTTTCTTTGTCGATTTAATTTATTATATAGTCTCAATTAGAATTCAGAATTATCTCACTGAAAAGTTAAGAAACCGACGATGTTCTCGATCGTAGTTATTTTCATTTTGCCAGCAGCCGATCTAGCGTTGTTTGGGCAAAAAGCTAGGCCGCTGCCTTCCCATCGCAAACCTTTCCGAGTCCCGCTAAAATGGCGCGCTGCGGAGCTCCGAAGCTGCGTTGGTATCGCTGCAAACTCTCAGCCGGCTAGCTCCCCAAGACGGACCATTCGCGGTATGGCGAGATTGTGTGTGTGAGGTACGATTTTGGATTCGAGAACGCACGTAATGCAACCGTGCGCGTCATATTCAGCTGTCGAATGTCTACGACCAATTTTACATGTACGATTTTTAGTACAGATACTTGGTCAGTTTTCTTCTTATATCTTTGTTTTTACAACATTTAAAAATATAATTTCTTCAAATTTGCTCCTGACTCAGTTCAGACTAATTGTGTGATGTGTTTTCAAGTCAATTTTTTTAATATATTTTTTTGCATGAATTTGCCTATCATAGATCTAATTCATACATTTAGAATTCACCCTAAATTTTCGGCGCTTGTTCAGAAACCTATCAAAAATTTGACCCGTAACTCCGGCGTGGAGATACCCTACTAAAACATACCAAAAATGAAGTAAATATTCATGAAATGTCCAAATAAAGATCATGAGTTAAATGTCATTATGTTTATTACCTGTTTCACTTTCATCAGTAGGGGTGCTGGTCCGAGAATAAGGATCGTCTTCATAAACGTGGATCGTCTTCCTTAAAGGTAAAGACCAGTTATGGTCATGCAATTGCATTGTGAAAGAAACGTTGTGGAATCGATCAGAAAAGGTTGATCATCTAGCATCTAGCATCTGCAAGGTTCTGGAATCATCAAAATGATAAGAAATTTGGCCCATTTTCCGTAAAGTTACAAGCACTATACACAGAAAGATGTATATGGGACTACCCTATATCTTTCACAGATCATGAGAGAAACAAATTTACCAAATATATGAATTAGTAGGCGGTTTCCCGGCAAATTTGTTATTATCATGTATTAGTCAAAACATATTCTTTCACATGATTGGTAATGAGAGCTTCCATTTCATTTTTTGAAATTGGGGCGTTTCCAATACTGGTCTTTACCTTTAACACAGACCGATGCGTCTTCAAAAATAAGGACCGTCTGCATTTTTACAGACGTTTCATATTTTTGATCGGCACATTGGCGATGCAAAAAACGGATTCTGCAATGATTTTCTTGATGCAATTTACATTGACATTGTACAGAGACTTTCACATTATAAGCAATAAATCCTTGGGAAGACGAACAACCCATAAAAGTAGACGGTAAACTAGGGTTATTTTCCCCCGGGGAATCTATTTTTGGCATCGCCAGCAGGCCATTCTGTAACATGAAACCCCCAGAGCGCCGATGAAAAAAAACGTCCTCGAAAATGCAGACGACCCTTATTTTTGAGGACGCATTTTGTCCTCGTTTATGAGGATATCCTTGTTTATGAGGACGATCCTCATTCTTGGACCAGCGCCCCTACTGTTCATGTCAATTTTCTTGTTATTTTCTGAGTATTTTTCGGAAAAACATTGATACTAGTAATAGTAGACTTTTTCACAGGTTAGGTTTCACGGCAAATCAATGCACAATACAAGTGCATACTGATGTTGGGTTGTGAGCGGGTGCGTGCCTATGTGAAGTTTTCTACCGTAATGAGGAGCTGAGACATTACGGTAGATTAGGGTAGAGTGCCCAGTATTTGGTCACTTAAAGATAAACTCCAGTTCTGGTAAAAAAAAAGAAAATTAATTCTCACAGAATCAAACAAAACTTACACTGAATTTTCAAGATTACAAATAAATGACATGTGCCAAACTATTTTGGAAGAAAATGTATACTGGCTGAGTAATGAGCATAGAAAGACAAAAATATCAAGGTAGTAGTAGTACTAGCCCCGACACCATGTGTGTTGTCCCATATTTAGCTTTCTGTTTACAGTGCTTGTTACTTTACCAAGACTCGGTCAAATTTATTATGATTTTGATGACTCCAGAACCTTGCAGTGCACACCAATACTTACATGCTACATGATCAACTGTTTCTGATCCTTTCCACACCTTGTCTTTCAAAATGCATCGCATTACCAGTACTAAAGTTTATCTTTAATAGGAAATCGCTTATATTTTGAATTCTTACTTCTTTTATTTGGCAATCTACCCATCAAAAGAAAAGAAATTTATTCCTCTAACAGGATTTTATAGTCACTTAAAATATAGAATGATGATAAGTGTGAGGGAATGAGAATTGGGTATGAAGCAAAATACTTCCAAAAGAAGACGGAGCATTTTTCTGCCCAGAATTCAGTCGCGCCTAATAGAATTCAGTCACATGATTTGTGCGTGGTATCTCCATTGCCATTTGCGCACAATTTCACACAATTGCGCGATAAAGCACTGAATGTCAATGCGTTGACCGAATACTGGACGAGCGATACTGCATGGCAAGGGTATCGTATAAATACCTCTTGCACATCTGCAAGTGCGTCATTTGCAAATTCGCTGCGATGGAGTAAACACGGAAGTGATTCTCTTCACACACATACTAAATTCATTGCGACAGCACTCGTAGTTGTTTCGCAATAGACTTCTACATATGGCTATGCATGTTAGCGCATGTGCTAACAGAACGCGGAAGTGCAGAAAGTTGTGCAACACTGACCAATTTCGAGCTAAGTTGGAGATCTTTCCGGGGCCCTAAATCTGATTTAATTTTGAGAGTTAAGAAAAGTTGTTCAGCTGCCTGATTTGTGCAAGTTTCGGGGCTCATAAATTATTTTTAAATTGTTACAGCTGTTGAAATGGCTGTCTGACCGAATACTGGGCACGCTACCCTACTTCACACAATTTTTTAAATTAGTTCTTCATATTGTTGCAAATAATTTTTTTTTTTATAAAACCTGTGCATCGATAAGTAAGAAAATGAAAATTTATGAAAATTTTTGTAGAGAGCTCTGCAAATTTGAGTACGTCGCACTGAATCATGACAGTTTTGTCAATTTATTTTCTTCACAAATGACAACTTAAAAAAATGAAAACTTTTCTATTTCTAATCGGAATATTGCTCAAGCTTTTACTAATTTGTTTCTCTCATTTTTCTCCTTTTTTTAAAACCAACTTAATATCAGGGTGGACTTCCCCTTTAAATCTAGTATCTTATTATACAACTTTATTTTGATGCTATCACTAGAAAAATAAAAGAGGATTCTGATAAATTATTTTTCCCTCTTCTGACCTAGAAATGGATGCTTTTCTTAAAGGAGGTAGCTTTAAATCCAAGGCTGCAGCGTCTTCAACAGGAGGATCCACTAAACAGAGACAAGTTCCTTGGGTTGAAAAATAGTAAGACGATTCTTTCATTTATTTAACACACATGTATCAAATTAATCTAGGTGTAATGTTGATGTTTATCAGAATAAGTGGGAATTTTACTTCATGTACCCTTTTCGACTGAAGTATTAAATTATTAATTTGGGCTTTCTATTAGGTGGCTAGACAATTACATAATATATTAGAAATATTACTGTGCTGAAAATATGAAGCTTTGATGAAAATAACAAAGTTTCATTGTTATAATACATAAATAGATCAAAAGAAAAGCCTATCTTTGTCTTATTCTTCAATTTAGAAAGTTTTTTTTTTTTTTTCTTCTTGATATTTTAGCCGACCCAGGACTGTCGATGAAGTGGCTTATCAAGATGAGGTTGTTGCTGTTCTTAAGAAATCGTTACAAGGAGCAGATGTAAGTTATTTCAACACGTGTCCAGTGTGTTCCTCCGAGTATGCAGGCACAAACCATTGACAGTTTGCTTGACCTGTGAGACTATGAAAACTAAAAAAAGTCTTACAGCACTCCTTACACCCTGGACTGTAGCTGTTCTTATTTGACACAGCCAGAGACTGACTTAGGTCTGCCCAAGGCTTCATGGAATTGTATTAACCCTTTCCTGACGGGAACCTGGTGGTCCCTGTGTTAAACCTATGGGACCTTTACATTTCAGTAGTTAACGGGCTAAAGCGTCAATTAGAGTCTTTGCCTGCAGACTATGTTTCTCAAGATTAAAGGGATAGTTGAGTTCTGTTGCAGAGGGCGCTACACAAAATTATTTTTTGTGAGATAATGACAAACTGATTGTCAAATTTGAAAGAACATAATATTTAAATGACAAAATCATCTTTGTTTGATCAAAATCGGTTCAGAGACGGCTGAAATATAACGATTTCTAATACTTGTGCACCACCACAAATATTGGATATTTTGAAAAATTTGAAAAATTTGAAAAAACCATTGGAAAAAATGAAATAACGCCTTTTACGCTGTATTTCAGCAAATGCTGATGTTGGGTTTTTTGTTGGCATTTTCGTGTTGCTTATATTACGCACAACCAGCCGACCCATGTATTGTTATTTTTAATTAAATAATTAATTGAAGGTCACCATGTTTCTTTTAAAGTGGAGCTGAATTGGTATGCTCGTATTGGCTAAATTTCACACATTTGGGGGTCTAAAATGACCTTCATAGCAATTTTAGGTTCTAAAAGGGTACTAGAAATGTCATAGATAAGAATAAGAGCGATAACCATGCACTTTGAAGGCATTTGCAGTCTGAAAACAGAACGGAACTATCCCCTTAATTGATTTGATTGAGATTATTGATTAATTGTAATGTTTATTCTGCAGCTTCCTAACATGCTATTCTATGGACCCCCGGGTACAGGCAAAACATCTACCATTTTGGCTGCATCAAGAGAACTGTTTGGGTGAGTTATCTGCAAAGTAGCGAATGCTGTGTGGCAAAGCTTCCAGTGGTCTAGAGAATTAGTGAATGAAATTGCTAATACAATGAAGAGATAACCCAAAGCTGTCATACACAAATTAATATAAACTGGACTGTAAATGTTTTGGGGGATGGTTCGCCACTTCATCAAACATTTTTCTGGATTGATATGTTTGATGATGGACATGCGTGTGTATGTGTAGGAGAGAGAGAGAGAGAAGGAGAGAGAAGGGGAGGGGGGAGGGAGAGGGAAAGCGAGTGAGATTAAAAGAAAGACAGACAGACAGACAGAGAGGGAGAGACAGAGAGAGAGAGTGGAGATTAAAGTAGCAGATGAAAAGATGGGGAATTGAAGAAAATAATGCATACCGGTATTAGTATCTTGTTACTTGATAAAGTTATTAGTACCGGCGATCGACAGAAAAAAAAAATGTCTAAAATCATATTTTTTAAATCTCTTGTTTTTGATCAGTACTGACATGTATCGGAGCCGTGTTCTGGAACTGAACGCCTCCGATGAACGAGGAATCCAGGTCGTTCGAGACAAGGTCAAGAAGTTTGCTCAGACAGCAGCAGGTGGAATAAGACCAGAGTATGTGTACAAACATTCGTTGAATCCCAGAATAAATTGAACCTATGGCCTAGTTCGCTATCAGTAATGTATAAAAGTTATAGCAAGTGTAAAATAGTTCATTATTAATTATTTAATAATACTGAATGGCCATGATTGTTATACAAGGGTATTTCCCACAAGCTGATTTCAAGATTTAAATATTTTCAATGCGAGTGTGAAAAGCCCTTAAATACTATTCTTGATTACAAAATCTAGTACATCACTTTTCCCTATAATAATAATAATAGGCATTTATATAGCGCCGTCTATCTAGACAATTCTATTCTGAGGCACACAAGAAAAATAGAAAGTATTAGAGAGTTTGGACGAGTGTCATAGTGCCAAGTACAGGTATTGTTCAAAAAGATGAGATTTCCTTGTGGATTTAAAGGTCTCTAAGGAAGTTATTCAAAAGAGACTGAAAAGGCCCTTTCACTACAGGCTACTCGCGTCTTGGGGATCTTAAGAAGATGTTGGTGTGATGATCTTAGACTACATTACATCCTTATGTTTTTTAATTAACTTTTATATTAAACACTGGGAGAAGCAACATGTTTAGTCCTTACCCAAGCATTTTGCAATGGCTGTGTGCATACATCCATCGTCTTAACTTTTGCATATTTAATTTTTTCAATCATTTGTGCAAACCATGAGATATGGAAAAAGACTGCACGATCATGTGGGTACTTTTTCACAACCCATCAGATTTTATTTTAAAATCGCACAGTCATCCGGTTACTTTAGCCTAAAGCATATTCTAATTGGCGCAAAACCCTTCGTACAAATGATCTTACGGTTCTCAATATTTTTGTTTCTGGTATGACTTGGGTATTACAGTAATTCATAGCTCAAATGATATTTCCTTTCATTCGTTGTTTAATCTTGTTTTGTTTCTCTTTAGTGGGAAACCCTGCCCTCCATTCAAGATCATCATATTGGATGAGGCTGATTCAATGACCTATGATGCTCAGGTATCCAATTCTTTTTGCTCACATGTCTTTCTGTAACTCTATACTAGCCATTCTCTTGGAGTCTGTTCAAAATTAGATCTCTTTTAAATTAAAGTCTACCAATCACCAACAAGTATTTTGTTCTGTATACTTTGTCATTGTATAATATTCAAAATAAGAAAGTCAGATATTACTTTCACAGAAAGATATTGCAAGTATAAATACAATCTCATTAACCAAAAAAGGTGACTTAGGAATAGAATGTTCGCATAGAAGAGGGCCTGTACAGAACCAAAGTCTGAATTTGGTTCCTTGTGCTGAGTTTGATGTTATTCCTCATACTCCTTTTTTTCAAAGTCCATTTGATTTATTCTAGCTCTTTAATTTTCTTTTTTAGTTGATTGCTACACTTTAAGGGTTGACACCATGTACACTTATGGTAGAGATCGCAATGATAATAGGAATGATGTGGGATGACCAATCATGTTTTCTCAATGAAAAGTGTTGGGGAAAGGTTCAGATCTAGAGGCATACCGGTAGTATTTCTCTCTCTGAAGGCAAGGCCCCACATAAAGTTTGTTATGAGCTGAAAAGAGCCCTGCTTATTTGAAACTTGCCAGGATAGATTTAAAGACCTTTATAAGATTTGAGAAAGTTGATGTAATATGCTTTCTGGTGTTTTTTTTTATCTTACTCTTTTGTTGTTTGTTTTGTTATGTTCCAGGCTGCCCTCAGAAGAACAATGGAGAAACAATCCAAAAACACAAAGTTCTGCCTCATCTGTAACTACATCAGCAGGTATGTTTCTCTTTGTCATCATATTAATAGTATTAATAAATATTAACCTGTTAACATCTAAACTTTCTCATTCCCACTGAGTAAATACATGAGCCACCTAGTTCTCATAGGCTATGGGTTAAATCAGCTATACATATCAGCTAAGGCATTGTAGTGAACCTTTCCAAGTGTTTGTTTTTTCCTATTAAAGAAACTCATCTTGCTGATTAGAAATTGTCTTTATTGTCTTAAGTGTGATACTAGTTGTAATTGTTTATGTATATGGTGTGAAACAATCACCTAAATTCCATTTTGTTTGTAACAGAATTATTGAGCCTCTGACATCCCGCTGCTCCAAGTTTCGCTTCAAACCTCTCAGTAAACCCATCCAGGGGAAGAAGCTGAGAGAGATCTGTGAAGCGGAGAACATCAACTGTGGCGAAGAGGTAAACTTCTATGAAATCTTTGGGTAGTATTCTTGAAAGCGGACTAACTTTAGTCCATGGTTTAATCCTCCGACTAAGTATGGAATGCCAAGTGTCCATATGAATATATTTTTGAATAATTTAATCTGTTACTAAATTTAAATGAAATATAATAACATAATTGATAAACAACAGTATAATTATAAAATAATTGTGTTATCATGGTAATTTAGTGATCAAATTTAAAAAAAATATATTCATATGGACACTTGGCATTCTTTACTTAGTCGGAGGATTAAACCATGGACTGAGGTTAGTACGCTTTCGAGAATACCACCCTTTGTGATCAACTTGACTTCCATCTAGCCACCAAATTTGACTCTTTGATTCCTATAACTACATTGATTTGTCTCATTTGTTTGTATTTCTTTTCGTCACTATGATTATCATTGACACTGAGTTTTTCGATACCTGTATGTACATTTTGTTTCAAATTCATATACCGGTTCTGTATGCAATCATACTACAAAGTGACATCAAATAATGAGTCATTTTTAACAAAACAGAACTGGAATGAAAAGTTACAAAAGGAATCAGTTCTGTTTTTAGATTTATCTCTGTGAATCCTACAAGAAATCACAAGGTTAGCTATGTGCAGTAAATCTTACAAGTAGGCATGGTGTCTTCTATTCAGTGTTTATAATCAAGATTCTGCATCTGCTGTAATGGTTGGTAAATTGTGGCTTGAAAATTGGAAATCTGTCCGACGGAGCTTAAAGCTTATCTGTACTAGTTTATAGGTGGGATTACACCACCCTGCAAGGTCACTGGACAGGTGGTTATCACATCAACTCAGCTCTCAATTAACATAAGAAAAAGAGGATCATGGGGGACCCATGGTCACTGATTATGCATTGTTTTCTATGTAGAGGGAGCAAGTAGCTACAAGTAGTACAGTGGGTCTTTAAATCTGTGGTTTTAATGTAATCTCCATTTGATCTCCCCCAGGCCTTGGAAGCCATTTTGAAGTTGTCAGAGGGAGATATGAGGAAATCTATCACCTTCCTTCAGAGCGTTCATCGTCTTCAACGAGAAGATGGCATCCGAGTAGAAGATGTTTATGAGATTGCAGGGGTGAGTGACAGGTGTCAATGGGGAGGGGAGGGGAAGGGACAAGGGGCTCTGTTATTGTAATTAGGAACTCCATCACATTCCTAGAGAGCATCCTTGGACTTCAGCGAGAGGGTGGCATCTTATTAAAAACTTGTCTACAGGAAAATAATTATATTTTGCTTATATCAGAAGTCTCCAAGCGCTCTACAATAAAGCAGCATAGTTACCTTGGCTTTAGCAGTGCACCTGTTACGCGCGCTGCGTTTCAAGGACTAAATTCCTACCAGGTCCCCATTTACTTCACCTGGGTGGAGTGTGGCAAATGTAGATCAATGTCTTGCCAAAGGACATTAGTGCCGCGGCGGGATAGCAGGGGTGAGTCACAGGTGAGGAAGGAATCTTATCAGGGTTTTACTAAATGCCGACCACAGCTAGTGTACCTTTGATATGGAAATGTAATTTTATAGAGGTATCTATGTAAATACTGTGTTGCAAAGATATTGGCAAAAATGTGATGGTAGGAAGTAGATAAATAATGAAGTTGTGTCAGCTGCCATAAATTGGAAGCTTTTACAAAAATGTGATCTTAATTTTGGTATTTGTTATGGCCTGAGGAGGCTGAATAGAGAGGGAAAGGGGGTCAAACTTGAAATTTAAAGGGTTGTACTTCATGTTGATACTTTGACAACTTGTAACAAGTGGAAAGAAATTGTGCATGTTATAATTTGAAATTTAAATAAACAGCTTATGGATAACAAAATCTTGTATTCTTTTCTTTTTCCTTTTCATGCTTTCAAGGTGATCCCAGACAAGATGATAGACGATCTGATTCAGGCCTGCTACGGCGGATCGTATGAAAAGCTTGACGAGAAGGTCCAAGAACTACTCCAAGGTGGCTACTCGGCTTCACAGGTCGTCAACCAGGTTAGTAGTCCTTCAGACATCATCATAATTGTCATTGTTTAGTGTCAGTTTTTCTCACCCTATGATGTTGGAAATGTTGTTTCCTCATGGCCCTTCTCCAAGCCTTCTCGGGCTGTTTCTCGAAGCCGTCTAAACTCTTAGACATCTTGTTGAAACGTGTGTTATAGAATTAACATGGCGTTTCTATGGGATGTCCATGAACTTTTACTTCTGACGGTTTCGTGAAACGATGCCCTGGGACCCGTTTCACAAAACTTGTAATCAATGACAAATGACAGTTTTTGTTATAAGCTACTGAAATCCTTGCTTCTGATTGGTTATCAGCAGATTTGTCACTCATTTTTGTCATTAGTCAATGAAAAAAGGCTTTGTGAAACGGGTCCCTGGTCTTCAGCATTCACCTGGGTGAAACCAGATCCCCTCATATCTTCTTCTAGCATCTCTTTCCAGGTTTTGTAAGGTTTGCAACAGGGTTTTGAGCCCAACCTGGAAATCCATTTTTTCAGAAGCCAATGCCTTTTTTTTCTTTCTGACCATACCATCTTAACCAACCCATCTATGAACATTTGAAAGTACAAAATATGAACTTTCCTGCAAATTTGCTAAGTTATATCTGAACAAATACTATGGGTAATATTGATGTTCCATTGTTTTGCTAAATTGTTTTTGTGAAATTATGTTCTTGTTGAATATTAAATAAACACCTCATTTAAAGGCAAAGAGAAGAAAAAAATCTCAACCAACCCATCTTTATCTCCTATGAGATTTTTTGTCTAGCAAGACATTAATCTACATTTGCCACTCTCCACCCAGGTGTAGGAATGGGTCCAGTAAACCCAGAAACTCATACAAATTTTGAGAGTGGTCCAGCATTGTGAAATAACTGAATCATGACATTCAATTTTTGTACCTTACATTTAAAAAATATTTAAAAACAGCTGCCCTTATGTTTTAATTTGTAAACCTGGGGTTTCCACTACCTGATAGAAATAATTCCACAAATCATGTGAGAACCCATATAGGACAAAATACCTTGGAATTGCTCTAATAACTTCTCTGAATCTCTTGCTCCAGATCTTTGACATCATAGTGGACAGAGGTGAGCTGACCGATAAACAGAAATCTGCCATCGCTGAGCGTCTCGCTGTCATCGACAAACGGCTGTGTGACGGAGCAGACGAGGGCTTGCAAATCATGGATCTGTTCACATTGACCATGGATCAGTTCTGCACTGTACAGAATTAGGACATCTTTAGGGCTGTATGTGAATGGATTACAACTAGTTCTGGACATTGTGATGTATATCTACAACATCTATGTGCAGATGATTGTATACATTGCTCATGGAGCTGTATCCCATTTTGGAAAATCTTTTGAAGGGCAGTGTAGAGAACACTAATCGTTGTGAAATGTTATTTTAAAACCATGACACACCTTGATAAATCTCACACTAATCATGTTGCATTGTTGTCCATCAAAATATACTCTTGCATTTTCAAGAGAACCAAACAGTCACATAGCTTGTAGTAATGAATGGCTATTCACAGAATGCCAAACGGGTATTTGCTATATCACATGTTCATGAAATGTTTTGCTATTCCGCACACCGTCACTAATAAGATCTCACTTTTGAAAGCTTATCTTAAAAATGTAGATTGGAAGCATAAAATACTTTCCATTCCTGGAAATGTAAGATCACTTATCTTGCAAGTAAATCATATTTCATGTAGAGCTATGAGCTTCAGTCTGTCTAAAGAAAATATTGTGTTGTGATCATGGCATTATATTGTGAAAGAAACTTTCCAGAAGCAGTTAGGAAAGCTATATTTATGTATTGGTGTATATTGCTATGTTTTGGAATCGTCAAGATGATAAGAAGTTGACCTAATCTTGCTTCAAAATCCTGTGCCCTGACTGAACACCAAAATGTGTGAATGGGGCTACACACACATGAAAGTTTGGTCCAAACCTCTCAGCTATTTCCCATCATATTTTGCATATAAAGAGCAATTATTTTCACTTTGTCAGGTGACGTTTGTACTTGGGGTACAAATATGATATTCTTCCAAACTATCTCATGGAGTACTTGACTTTTGTGACATGGGTCGCAATAGTCTTCCTGGAGAGAAAGATATAAGAGGAAGAGAGAGAGAGAGTGAGAGAGAGAGAGAGAGAGAGAGAGAGAGTGAGTGAGAGAGAGAGACAGACAGAAAAGAGAGACAGAAACATACAGACAGATACATAGATAGACAGAGAGGCAGAGAGAGAAAGAAAAAGAGGGGGGGGGGCTGGGTGGACAGTAATAGGAAGAATATCTTTTTGTCTGATTTCTCAACCTACTGCGCTAAATGTTTGGATGGAATGGACTTCTAAAACAGCTAGTCTGCTCTTGATTCTAAATGTGAGAATAATAACTCCTATAGTCTGAAAGTTATGTGTAGTTTTACAAATGCTAACTTGAGATGTTCTGTCAGCTATGCAGAGGTGGCATGATAGATATAAAGTATAAAGATTCCTTTCCATAGAAATCACAATGAATTAGACTATATGTACAAATGTTTTTGTAACCATTCTTTTTTTTCTTCTTCTTTTTGTCTTTGTAAAATATACATGTAATAAAAAATAAAAGACACCTTTATAACCTTGTATGAAAAGACTTATTTTCCAATAAATTTTGTACTGATAGCTCAAATAGTTCAGTGTAAAACATCAAGTGGATGAGGTTTCTCTTTCTATATATAGATATACATGCAAGATTGAGAGAGAGAGAGAGAGAGAGAGAGAGAGAGAAATTTATTGAATCGGTTTACTATGATAAAATAACATTGAATATGCAGCCCATATACTTGTAAGCTGAAGTTATTAAATTTTCAAAATAAAATATACAGAATATATTTAATAATTTTGGAGAGAGTGTAGGGGGGGGGGCGAAGATAAAGAGAGGCTTGGGAAGAGGGGAAAGAGAGATACAAAACAAAGAAGAGAGAATATATACCCATATAGAGATAAAAATAGTACAAAATTAAAAGAAGCAATGATTTAATACTGTCTACTGATGCATGTATATACAGGCATATGTTTGAATGTTTTTTTTTTTTTGTGTGTGTGGGGGGGGGGGGGGGGGGGGGGGGGGAAGGGGCTTCCTATGGGGTTTTAATCCATTTTCATCATGTGCTTTAATTGCTTATAACTTCATTTATATTTGGGGGCTCGCTCGTGGAAGAAATATGCTATAATAAGAAACGGAAAGCATGCATGAAGATAAATTGAAAAATATAGAACAGAACACAAAAATGCACAAAAAATGTCTTGCAATTAAAATGAGGGGTACAACAAACAAGCAAAATAAAATGATCAGAAATCTGTTCTATAGAGAAGATGAAAATGAATGAAATGGTAATTATAAGGAGTGGCAGAATATTTTATGGGATTACAATTGATGGGAAAGGATCATCATGTACAGTCATACTATATGTAAGGATCGTTTCTTGTATGATAAAACGAAGAGTAATACATAAGGAGCTAGTTGTCCGGACATTCATATGCAAACTCTGCGAGCACGGTCACGCCGTAAAAAAGGGAAACCCCCTCGAACGGCAGCGCACGTTTGCACGTGGTCTTCCAGAGGTCGCGAAGGTCATAGAACGGAATCCCAAGTTTAGAGCTACTGACTGGGAAGTTTGAACTTTGAGGCAGATACGAGCACTGTAGATCTAGTTGCTTTTTGATTGGAGATTGATGTTGATGTAAGTAATCATCAGATACTATCTGCATTGTTCTTAACTGTTTTATTTCGCTTATATTGAACCGCGACCGTAACCGGCGTGAAGTTAGTTACTTTTTCCTTATTGGATATTCAAAATGTGAAGTTAGTTACTTATTCGATATTGGATATTCAATGTGAAGTTAGTTACTTATTCGATATTCGACATTCATTGTGAAGTTAGTTACTTTTTCCTTATTGGATATTCAAAACATGAATTTAGTTATTTATTCAAAATTCAAAATAAGAATGCCGTTTATTACAGGAGTTATTGGCCTACTATAAGGTCAAGAGGGATGAGGGCAACCCAGAATCAGTCAGCTGGCCGTCAAAAGGTGCGCCATATGAACCAGAGTCCAAGGACAAGTATATTCAATTTTTGGTATAAGTTCATCAATCAAAGACTCATGGCATGAGCCTGACGGCCTGGGCCGGGCAACCACTGGTCCCTCAAGGTCAAGGACGATGTGGGCAACCCAGAAACAGTCAGCTTGCCCCGGCCCAGGCCGTCAAAAGGTGCGCCATGAACCAATATCCAAGGACAGTTAATATTCAATTTTTTTGGAATATTTTATTTCATCAATCAAAGTCTCATGACAAGAGCCTGACGGCCTGGGCCGGGCAGCCACTGGTCCCTCAGGGTCAAGGAGGATGTGGACAACCCAAAAAAAGTCAGCTTGCCCCGGCCCAGGCCGTCAAAAGGTGCACCATGAACCAATATCCAAGGACAAGTAATATTCATTTTTTGGAATATTTTATTTCATCAATCAAAGTATCATGACAAGAGCATGACGGCCTGGGCCGGGCAACCACTGGTCCCTCAAGGTCAAGGAGGATGTGGGCAACCCAGAAACAGTCAGCTTGCCCCGGCCCAGGCCGTCAAAAGGTGCGCCATGAACCAATATCCAAGGACAAGTAATATCCAATTTTTTTTTAAATATTTTATTTCATCAATCAAAGTCTCATGACAAGAGCCTGACGGCCTGGGCCGGGCAGCCACTGGCCCCTCAAGGTCAAGGAGGATGTGGGCAACCCAGAAACAGTCAGCTTGCCCCGGCCCAGGCCGTCAAAAGGTGCGCCATGAACCAATATCCAAGGACAAGTAATATTCAATTTTTTTGGAATATTTTATTTCCTCAATCAAAGTTTCATGACAAGAGCCTGACGGCCTGGGCCGAGCAGCCACTGATCCCTCAGGGTCAAGGAAGATGTGGACAACCCAGAAAGAGTCAGCTTGCCCTAGCCCAGGCCGTCAAAAGGTGCGCCATGAACCAATATCCAAGGACAGTTAATATTCATTTTTTTTGGTAATATTTTATTTCATCAATCAAAGTTTCATGACAAGAGCCTGACGGCCTGGGCCGAGCAGCCACTGATCCCTCAGGGTCAAGGAAGATGTGGACAACCCAGAAAGAGTCAGCTTGCCCTAGCCCAGGCCGTCAAAAGGTGCGCCATGAACCAATATCCAAGGACAGTTAATATTCATTTTTTTTGGTAATATTTTATTTCATCAATCAAAGTCTCATGACAAGAGCCTGACGGCATGGGCCGGGCAGCCACTGGTCCCTCAGGGTCAAGGAGGATATGGGCAACCCAGAAACAGTCAGCTTGCCCCGGCCCAGGCCGTCAAAAGGTGCACCATGAACCAATATCCAAGGACAAGTAATATTCAATTTTTGGAATATTTTATTTCATCAATCAAAGTATCATGACAAGAGCATGACGGCCTGGGCCGGGCAACCACTGGTCCCTCAAGGTCAAGGAGGATGTGGGCAACCCAGAAACAGTCAGCTTGCCCCGGCCCAGGCCGTCAAAAGGTGCGCCATGAACCAATATCCAAGGACAAGTAATATCCAATTTTTTTTTAAATATTTTATTTCATCAATCAAAGTCTCATGACAAGAGCCTGACGGCCTGGGCCGGGCAGCCACTGGTCCCTCAAGGTCAAGGAGGATGTGGGTAACCCAGAAACAGTCAGCTTGCCCCGGCCCAGGCCGTCAAAAGGTGCGCCATGAACCAATATCCAAGGACAAGTAATATTCTTTTTTTTTAAAATATTTTATTTCATCAATCAAAGTCTCATGACAAGAGCCTGACGGCCTGGGCCGGGCAACCACTGGTCCCTTAAGGTCAAGTAGGATGTGGGCAACCCAGAAACAGTCAGCTTGCCCCGGCCCAGGCCGTCAAAAGGTGCGCCATGAACCAATATCCAAGGACAAGTAATATTCAATTTTTTTGGAATATTTTATTTCATCAATCAAAGTCTCATGACAAGAGCCTGACGGCCTGGGCCGGGCAACCACTGGTCCCTCAAGGTCATGGAGGATGTGGGCAACCCAGAAACAGTCAGCTTGCCCCGGCCCAGGCCGTCAAAAGGTGCGCCATGAACAATATCCAAGGACAAGTAATATTCAATTTTTGGAATATTTTATTTCATCAATCAAAGTCTCATGACAAGAGCCTGACGGCCTGGGCCGGGCAACCACTCTTCTCTCAAGGTCAACAAGGATGTGGGCAACCCAGAAAGAGTCAGCTTGCCCCGGCCCAGGCCGTCAAAAGGTGCGCCATGAACCAATATCCAAGGACAAGTAATATTCAATTTTTTTTGAATATTTTATTTCATCAATCAAAGTCTCATGACAAGAGCCTGACGGCCTGGGCCGGGCAGCCACTGGTCCCTCAAGGTCAAGGAGGATGTGGGCAACACAGAAAGAGTCAGCTTGCCCCGGCCCAGGCCGTCAAAAGGTGCGCCATGAACCAATATCCAAGGACAGTTAATATTCATTTTTTTTGGAATATTTTATTTCATCAATCAAAGTCTCATGACAAGAGCCTGACGGCCCGGGCCGGGCAGCCACTGGTCCCTCAGGGTCAAGGAGGATGTGGACAACCCAGAAAGAGTCAGCTTGCCCCGGCCCAGGCCGTCAAAAGGTGCGCCATGAACCAATATCCAAGGACAAGTAATATTCAATTTTTGGAATATTTTATTTCATCAATCAAAGTCTCATGACAAGAGCCTGACGGCCTGGGCCGGGCAGCCACTGGTCCCTCAAGGTCAAGGAGGATGTGGGCAACCCAGAAACAGTCAGCTTGCCCCGGCCCAGGCCGTCAAAAGGTGCGCCATGAACCAATATCCAAGGACAAGTAATATTCAATTTTTGGAATATTTTATTCATCAATCAAAGTCTCATGACCAGAGCCTGACGGCCTGGGCCGGGCAGCCACTGGTCCCTCAAGGTCAAGGAGGATGTGGGCAACCCAGAAACAGTCAGCTTGCCCCGGCCCAGGCCGTCAAAAGGTGCGCCATGAACCAATATCCAAGGACAGTTAATATTCAATTTTTTTGGAATATTTTATTTCATCAATCAAAGTCTCATGACAAGAGCCTGACGGCCTGGGCCGGGCAGC